TACTGTGTATCTGTTAATCCCAAACTCCTAATTTACCAAAGGGACATTTTTAACATCAGTCAGAAAATAACACAAAAAGATTTCCTAAATGTTAAAATAAAATTAAACTCTTATAATGGTTTTTCCAAAACCCTCATGATCTAGCTCTTGCCTAGCTCTCTGACCTCATTCCTACTACTTTCTCCCATGATCCCTATACTTTGGCTAGTTTCTGTCCCTTGAACATGTCAAGACTGTTCCCATCTTAGGGACTTTGAATGTGCTGTTTCCTCAATATATAATACTTTTTCCCCAGATTTTTTAGACACCTGGCTCCTTCTCATTCAGATCTCAGTTCAAATGTCACCTCTCTAAGGAGGACTTTTTGGAGCATCCTAGGTAAAGTACTCTCACAGGCACTACCTTATATCCTTGTTTTTATTTAGTTCATAGCACTTACCACTCTCTGAAATCATTAATGTGTTCATGGTTCCTCTCTCTCCAGCAGACTATAAGCTCTAAGAAGAAAGACCCTCTCTGTCTTGTACACTGCTATTCCCCAAGTTCAATCATTCAGTATGTGTAGGAATAAATGGTAATGTAGAACACTATTATACCCCAACACTATTATTCTTTCACTCCAAAGCAGGGTGATTAAACTAAATGGCCCTTTCATATCTGTTTTATTCAATATTCTGTTTTTAAAGTCTAGGACAGACGTATTTTTCACTGACCCAGAAGACTGATGGGGAAAACCTGAACATTAAAAAGAACTGGCTGAATGATGGAATTCAGAAAGTCATCATTTGACAATGACTACAGTAAACAGTAATAACTGTTTCAATCAAGAATAAGCAATAGATGCTAAAATTAGTGGGTGAAAAGATGTTTGGCCTCAAAGATACATACTAATTAATTTTAAAATGGAAAAGTAATAATTTTACAGTAAAGAAATCAAGCAGACACCACCATAACCATATGATCAAAATTAACATGACAGAAGCCAGGTTCCTCATGATATGAAGCACTGAGAAGGACACATCACTTCTGTGGTAAATCTGTTTATGGGGAAATATCAGAAAAATCAAAATTGAAAAACATTCTGTAAAATAATTGTTCTATATGGTTCAAAAATGTCAAGGTTATAAAAGACAAAGATTAAGAAACTGTTTCAGATTAAAAGAGACTAAGAAACAAGGTAACTAAATGCAATATGTAAATCCTAGATTGGCTCCCAGATCAGAAAAAAAATTTTTTTTTTTGCTTTATGTAAATAACATTATTGGGAAAATTGGTAAAAACCAAATAAAAACTTTTTAAAATTGAAGTACAGTTTTAAAATTGAAGTACAGTTGATATACAATATTATAAAAGTTACAGGTGTACAATATAGTGAGTCACAATTTTTAAAGGTTATATTCCATTTAGAGTTACTATAAAATATTTGCTATACTCCTCTTATGTCAGCTGTGGGTCTGTCATGTATGGCTTTTATTGCATTGAGGTATGTTCCTTCTGTGCTCACTTTTGGGAGAGCTTTTATCAAAGACGGATGTTGAATTTTGTCAAAAGCTTTTTCTGCATCTACTCAGATGATCATATAGTTTTTACTCTTCAATTTGTTAATGTGGCATATTACACTGATTTAATATTGAAAAATCACTGCATCCTCACCCTGGGGTAAATCCCATTTGATCATGGTGTATGATCCTTTTAACGTATTGTTGGATTTGTTTTGTTGATATTTTGCTGAGGATTTTTGCATCTATGTTCATCAGTGATACCGGCCTGCAACTTTCTTTTTTGTGTGTGCTATCTTTGGTTTTTGGTATCAGGGTGATGCTGGCCTCACAGAATGAGTTCAGAAGTCTTCCTTCCTCTGTAATTTTTTGGAATAGTTTGAGAAGGACAGGTATTAAGTCTTCTCTAAATGTTTGGTAGAAGCCATCTGATCCTGGACTTTTGTTTGTTGGGAGCTTTTAAATTAGTGATTCAATCTCATTACTGGTAATTGGTCTGTTCACATTTTCTGTTTCTTCGTGATTCAGCCTTGGGAGATTGTACCTTTTTAAGAATTTTTTCCATTTCTTCCAGGTTGTCCATTTTTTTTATTGGCATATAGTTCTTTGAAGCAGTCTCTTATGATCTTTTATATTGCTGTGGTGTTGGTTGTAACTTCACCTTTTGGTACAATCAGTACCAAACTGACAAATTTTTACCAACTGGTAAAATCCAAATAAGGACTTTATATAATATTACATATCCTCATTTTCATAACCAATGTCCTCAATTTGGGGAAATACACACTGAGGTATTTAGAGGAAAAAGAGCATCATGACTGTAACATACTTTAAACTGATTCAGAAAAAAAAAATTGTGTACAGAGAAAGAAAGGAGAGAATGATAAAGCAACTGTAATACAAGTTAATATTTGAGGAATCTGGCTGAAAGCTGTACCTATGTTCCACATTTTAAAATGCTCTCTGTCACATACTTTATTCACTTCTTAGGACCTGCCACTGTCACATAAAATAGTACAAAACAAATAGAGTACCAAGGACTAACAACTTCGTAATTCTTACTTATATCAGAATTTACCATCTTCCTTTCTCCTTTCCCAATCTAAGCAACAACCAAATTACTCCATTTGACTTTCTCAGTAATTTAGAATTACAATGTTTACCTGGAAAGAATCCATGCAGACCGGACTGGAAGCCAGCTCCTCATCTACCGCATGTAACTTCTCCATGAAAGTACTATCCTTGGTCTGTTTGGGCTTTGGGGGAGGCGGGGGCCCCATGGGCACTACCTCAGCACTGATGTGCCTGATGGCAGGTGTGGTGACTTTCTCAGCCTGATTAAAAGAGGCAATTATGTTAAAAAATGAAAGGGAGGGGAAAAAATGAGCAGGAAGAGAGAAGTAAGTCTTTCATATGCTAGTGATCTTCTCTTCCCATCTAGAAAGAGGCATATAAAAACAAAGGCACTGTTGACCACATTAATCTAATTAGGTTTTATCCTACTTCCAACAAAGCCAGGAAGACGCTACTTAGGTTACCAAAAGTGGGAAATATAATGTAAATGGCCTTAGAACGGTATTAGAAAACACATATGAAAAAGAGAAGCATAGAAGAAAAGCAATTCTGTCATCACTCATATTTGGTCCCTTAATAAGAATTCAGAAATCTCTCGTCACTAAGTTACAGTATTCTCTCAACTGTTCACTAATTTAAGGGACTTTGAAATCAACTGGTTAGTTACAACCGGTCACAAATACCAGGAAGATAATGGCATGATTACTGATCTTCAATTATGTTTGACAAAGGGTGAGAGCTCAGAATCACCATGAAAAAATTATCTATTTATACAGTTGAATAACCTACTTACACAGTTATCTCTACTTTACCTCTTGAGTATGCTGTAAATTTACCTCTGATAATATGCCACTCTCCTCATCTGTTTCAGTCATCTCAGAAGACTGCCTCAATCTGGATTTCTTGGCCCCACGTGGAGATGAAGCAGTGCTTTCAACATCACTTTCCAATAAACTCTATAAAACAAATCCAGTTCACTTTCACATCTATGCCCCTACCTCATTCCACTGAGTTTGAACTATCTCAAGAGAATGAATCACAAAACACCAATCACTGAATCGGTCAGAGTAAGAGAAAACAAAATTTAAATAAAAGCCTAATTTTCTAAAGGTGGGAACAGGGATCAGATCACTATCCCCATCAGCAGTGCAAACTCTGTAAAACTGTAAGGCACTAGTTTAAAATCATTTAACATCAAGTCAAAGAACACAGTAAGAAAGAGAATATTACATAGCTATGAAAATGAACAAACCACAGCTATAAGTAACACTATAAAGGAATCTCAAATGACTAACGTTGAACCAAAGAGGGGGAAAAAAAATCACACAAAAGCATACACTATGGTTCCGCTTACACAAGGTTCAGAAACAGTAACAAAATTTAACTATAGTGTGTAGAGCTGCATATTTAGGTGGTATAATGATAAAGAGAGGCAAGGAAGTAATTACCAAGAAGTCAAGATAGCGGTTATCTACAGGGGAAGAGAAGTGATTGTGATTAGGAAGGGCATATAAGAGGAGTCTGGCAATGATATCTTTAATGACTCTGAAGGAAGTTTCATGAGAATTAGCTTTATAATTATTTAAGCTGTATTTTTTATTTTTATTCTATGCACAGTTCTGCAAGTCATATGTATGTAATAGTTCTTAAGATGTGAAAAAATTAAGGGAGCATGAAGAAGAGAAAACACCTCACATTCTTGGATTTATGCTAAGAAATGAGTAGAAAAAAGATCTGTGTTTCAAAGCTCTCTCTAGAACAGGCAGCATTACTAAGGAAGCAAAGTACATTGTCATACTGAGCCAAATTTTTTCTATATTACCAACTAACACTCACAAGAGTAACCACTGACCTCTTCAGCGGTCTCATCCTCCTCTTCATCATCTGGCTGGTACTCCTCATCGGAGGAATCGTCGTCTTCGAGGTGGATATCCACAAACTGGGGAGGCTACATAAGCACAATTACAGAAAGAAATGAAATGACAGAAAACACAAATCATACGTACTCGGAAAATAAGGGGAAGAAAATAGAGCAAGAAAAAAGAAATCCTAAGAGCACAACAAACAGCTAAAGCAAAGAGGCAAGAGTTAAAAAGATCCCTAGCATGAGAGTCAAACCTAAGAGTAAAGGAATGAAAAAAAAAAAAAACCAAAGCTGGAATTAAAATGAAAACACAGGCCCCCAAAAAGTTAACAAATAGAAAGGTTTCAAAATGATGAAGTCCTCCCAGAAAAGAATAAGAATTACATCTTCCAAGTTTACCTTAATTTCATTGGCCTTCTTAATTGGTGAAATATTCCATGTTGGAATTACCTGCCAACAAAGAATGAAAATAATTAACTTCTCTTAATTGAAATAGGCTATCTTCCATTTTTTACTTCTTTACTATCACAAATAGCCATCAGACTGACATATAGCTGCAGAGATCTAAGGGTACTGATTATCCCCAAGGACACACTCCCAAATATTTATCAGAGCCTGACAGGAGAATTTCACTTCATTTCATCAGCATTTCTGCCTTAAACCTAGTTAGATTCTGTATTATCTGTAAATGGACAAAGTGTCTGTCTTGTCTACCTTATATCACAGTTTGGGTTCACATGGAATAATGAATGTGAAAAACTATTTGTAAACAACAATGGTACACAAATCTAAGATATTATAGGTGACAGGAGCCTTTTGCCATCAGTATTTTTTTAATCAATTACTTAAATCCACCGTAAGTATGCCTCCAAAAACTCAGCCATGAAAAATTCTGAGGGAAGGATTTAGAGGTGAAGTGCCAAGTTGTACACAACTCATCTTCAAATAGTACAGGAAAAAACAATAAATAGAAATAGAGAGATATAAAGGAAAACGTCAAAATTTTGCAATTGTTAAATCTAGACAGAACCTAGATTCACTGTAAAATTCTTCCAACTTTTTGTGTGTTTTATAACAATAGAGTTGACAGGGGAGAAGTTTTCTTGTTCGTTTTTTTGCTTTTTAAGAGACGCTAGCTTTTGGTTTATTTGAAAATAGAAAATGAATTGAGCCCCAAAGATCACACCCAATGTGGTCAGAGACAGCCAAAGAGCAGCCCTGACAGGGTGATGAGGGGGAGAAGTTTTTAAAAGAATTCTTTAAAACCTCTTCCATACTCCTGACAAAATGCCATTAGAGTGTATAATTTCTTGACCATCTAATTATGAACAATCAAAATCATCTTATGAACAAAATCCAGTAAGTCATTAGGTTCTGTTTCTGTAAGAAGTCTGAGGCCCTCCACATCTCCTCAGCCCTGCCATGTTCTGGCTACTTACCTAGCTCTGTGTAGCCTGGATCAAAATAGGGTAAAGGGAATGATATGATTCAGGGCCATACCCCTTTCATCTTTGTTTCTGACCCAATCAATGTCCTTACTGTCAAATCCATCAGGAAGTAGTCAGTCTATTAAGCATTAAGAAGCAAGAAACCTGGACTCTAATCCTTGTTCTCCCACATAAACTACAGTCTGCATTGTCCAACTTCTCTACAACTATATACATGGTTGGTAAACATAGTCCAGAGCCTGATTTGGATCTCCTTGGGTTGTTTTTTAGAAACAATTATGGAATTAATGTTAATTATATTCTATATGTCAGGCTGACTTCACAGAACTTCTGTCTCACTGATGGCTGCTTTCATCATAGCTGCCACATGCTCATTTGTGATTACTTCCTGGAGAAAGATAAAGTTTCATTTAACTACAGTTAGTCAATGAGACCAAAAAAAAAAAAAAATTACAGATGCAGCTGTCAAAAAAACCCAATGCACAGGGGAGCAGAATTTGCCACCCTAAAATATGTTTCTTTGGCATTAAAAAAAAAAGCCGTTGTAAACTTAGGCTGCATCAAGGGGAGATACGGTATCTGGAACATTGAGAGGATAGCCTAAATTTAATCTGTACTAGTTAAACCACATCTGGATATGGATACACTTTTAAATGGATATGGACAAACCAGAATCATATAGAAGAAAGAGATCAATTGGTGAAGGTACTCAAAGTCTTGTCATATGAAGACCAATAAAAATTGGGGGATACTCAGCATCAAAAAATGTTATGGGGGAGGGTATAGCTCAGTGGTAGAGTGCATGCTTAGCAAGCATGAGGTCCTAGATACAATCTCAGCACTTCCTTCTAACAATAAATAAGTAAATAAACCTAATAACCTCCCCTTCCCCCCAAAAAATCCAAATAAATAAATAAATAAATCCTAATTACCTTCCCTGCCCCCAAAAAATATTATGAAAAGATATACTGGTTTTCCTCAGCTAGAGGAAAGGTCATGCGGAAAAAGAACAGACATGTCTTCCATAGGGCTGCAAGGAACAGAATCAGATAGACAAATACTACAATACGCATTTTAGGTCTACAAGCCAAATATTCCTTACTGTCAGAGACAGAATGGACTCCAGCAGGGCTGTCACCTGCCTTGTCACAGAAGGTTAAGTACAAGCTGGACAAATGCTAGTTAAGCGGATATAACATGGTTCCCAGCATCAAAGGGCCTGCTGTACCAGTATGCTTCAAAAGCCTTCAAGTGGTTTTCACATCTTAGTGTGCAAAAGAATGTACTGTTATGTTTTGTTTTTGTTTTTGGTTTTGGTTTTTAACATTTTTTATTGATTTATAAACTGTTATGTTTTTAGCAATGCGCATTCCCTGGCCCTACCCACGGGTCCCGATTCCTAGGTTCGGGGTAAGCTCAAGCATGTGCATTTTTAATAAGCACTCCTGAAGGACCTCACACCAGGGGGATCTTGATGCAAGTGGTCCCTGGGACATAATTTGAAATATACTACTTTAAACACTCTGCCACATACCTCACAACATGAATAGAAAACCTGACCTCACTCATCGCTCTCAACTATTCCAAATGGTTATCTACCTAGCACTTCCAGAAAGCAATTAAAATAAAAATAAACTATGTTAATGATTTCATACATTTTGTCTCTACATGTCTACTTGTCTTTTACAAATATTTCTTCAAGGAGGCAAACCCAGATCGTGATAAATCTTCCCTATATTTTTTTTCCTGGAATTAGATATTATTTACAAAGCTAAACAAACAATAAAGAAAAAACAACACCCACCACTCCTTTTTCCACCACTTCCTTTAGTTTAGAGCGTGTCATTTTGGGCTCCTAAGAGGGAAATATCAGAAGAAAACAGTCAATAAAAATATCGAGTGATTCTTGGGTTTTGCGATGCTAACCTTGCCCCCAGCTGTCAAATTATTTACAAACTCCCAAGTGATCCCGCACACTTAAGCCAGTTTCAGACAGCTCTGTTTCATGACATTAAAATAACAATAACTACTTACAAACATGGGCATATCTTCTGTCTCGCTGATGGCTGCTTTCATCATAGCTACCACGTGTTCATTTGTGATTACTTCCTAGAGAAAGATGAAATTTCACTTAATCCAACAAAGATGCATCACCTAGATAATACCTATCTTTCTCTAATCCTTGTAGACTTATGTAGAGGATAAATGAGACCTAGATACTCAAATGGCTTCAGATTAGGGTAAAGCAAGCTTCTTTGCTTTCAGTTGGAGAGAAGTACACAGCTTCAACCAATGTAGCAGCAAACAGACCAACCTTATTGGTGGCTACTAGGAACAGGAATGGCTCACATAAAAAGAGATTCTTAAGCAAAACAGTAATAAACAATAAAGCCTTTATGAACAGCCGCATTGCTACATATCAAAGAATATGTGCAAAGTAGTGTAAGCTGTTAAGTGGGCATCTTTTCAGACACATCAACCCACAAAAGAGAAAATCCACAACAAACATTACCATCTTCAAATCTTCTAAACAATACAATAAACAATCAAATCAGTGGAAGGAAGCAGAGTAACAGTTTATCTTCCCAATTAAGCTCTTTACCATGTTTTCAGATTTCAAACTTGTGCTGAGTTTAAAGAGAAAGCTGTCTTAAAATGTTAAGTATTTTGCCACAGGTAACTCACAAAATTAGTAATTCATACATCAAGAGTCAAGAATTTCCTAAGGGGGAGGGTATAGGTTAGTGGTAGAGCGCATGCTTAGCATGCAGGAGGTCCTGGGTTCAATCCCCAGTACCTCCTCTAAAAATAAAGAAATAAATCTCATTACCTCTCCCCTCCCAAAAAAAAAAGAATTTCCTGAGTATTGGAAATGGAAAAAGTTCCATTCCAATTACATGGCTGCCCCAGCCTTACTCACATGAAGGATGTTTCGCACGTTGACTGCTGTTAGGTTGTGCTGCTTGGCCCCATCCTCTAAGGTGCGGTCAAGCACGTCATCCAGCTTCAGGTCACAAGCCAAAGTGCCTTCTTCCTGACCTCGTCCATCTCTTTTCCTCTTGGTACCCTTTTTCTTTTTCCGTCTTTTCTCATTTTCTTCACTGTCTTGCTCTTCTGCAAATAAACCGAGAACATCACCAGAATCTGCACAAGCAACTGTTTCCGGAACTTAACGCAAAAAGCCAACAGTGAAAGCAAAACAAGTTGCCAGCTATCTGGCCCTGGAAGTCAAAGAAGACTCTGATATGACATGGTAGTAATGGTGGATGTGGTACCATTGTCAGAGTAGTAACACCTAACATCACTGAATATTCATTTTATATCAGGCATTCCTCTATATGCTTTATAAATATTAATTCACTTACTCCTCATAACAATCCTATGAGGTAGGGACTATTATTTTTCCCACTGAACAAAGAAGAAAATGAGGCAGAAAGATTAAGAAACTTGCCCAAGAGCTAGTAATGACAGAGCCATGTCTGGAAGCCAAACACGCTAGCTCTAGAACCTGCTGTCTTACTTATTACTCTATACTGCCCAGATAATACATCAGAAACCCTGGGACTGTGTCCCAGATTGACAAATTAACTGGGTAACCTTGGCAATAGAATCTTATTTTTTTCTTTGTAAAATACGAATACCTGCCCATCAGGGATGTCATGCAGATTAAGTAAAATAATATATATCAAAATGCTTTATAACCAGTATTATACAAACATAATTTATCATTATTATTAGACTATTCAGTCTAGAAAAGAGAAAAACAAGGGGCAAACCAATAAAAATCCACTCTGAACCATAGAAAAAAGGGGGGACAGGGGAATGAAGTACCTCTATTCTACAAGAAAGGAGCACAGATATAACCAGACAAAAGGAAAAGCTTCTTAATTATAAGAATCTGGTAAGTCTTGAAGTAGATTATCATGCAACACCAAAATGAAGTTCTCATCTCTCTGACACTATTTGGTCTGCTATTGTCTGAAAACAAAGGATTAGAGAAGATTAACATCACAATGACCTTGGTTTAAAAAGACTTTATGACTTTCAACCAACGTGCACCCTGGCAGCATTTACTCAATGAAAAATTATTAGTAACTTTAAACAATTGCTTTTGCACTTGTGAACATATATCAAGAATTTGATAAGTGTTTACAATTTTCAATCTAATAATTCTCCTCCTTAAGGAAATAAGTAGACATAGTTATTCATTTCAATATTAGTTTTTCTATTTTAACTGAAGTATAGTCGGTTCACAATGCATTAATTTCTGGTGTGTAGCACAGTGACTCAGTTATACATACATATTCCTTTTCATATTCTTTTTCATTATAGCCCACCATAAGGAACATTATTTTAGCAAAAACATGGAAAACACCTAAATGTCTATCAAAAGAAGAAAAACACACAATCTAAAAGGTACAAGTTATGTTTTATTTAGGGACGTTACTGAGGACTATAAGCTGGGAAACAGCCTCTCAGATAGTTCTGAGGAACTGCTCTGAAGAGGGGGGAGAAGCCAGGATATATAGAAGTTTTTGATGAAAAAAAAATCAGTGCAAATCACAAAAAAAATAGACATCTCAAGTCAATAATTTTAGTGCTTTTCTATGCATGAGAAGATGCAAGAGTCTGGGCTCAATGAAATTATTCCTCAGTTAATCATCTTAACTATCTAGGGCCAGTATCCTATTTTTCTCCATCCTGAATTCCCCTCAGGGCACACACACCAGAGGAGTCTACGTGGCTGATGGCTTGATGGCTACCAACATTCATTGTTTACTGGAATGGCAGGCAACATCTGCTGTTTACTGAAAGGGCAGGCAACACTTTTGTCCACATGGCCAATATGAAAAAATGGTTAAGTGAACACTAGTACATCCACACACTGGACTGTAACTGAGCCATTAAAAATTGTCTTTTTAGGGGGATGGATATAGCTCAATGGCAGAGTGTGTGCTTAGCATGCAGGAAGTCCTGGGTTCAATCCCCAGTACTTCCATTAAAAAAAAAAGGAAACAAGTCAAAGACCTATTAATAAAGGTGAATTAAACTACAGAACATATATACAATGGAATGGGGGAAAATGTATTAAGAAAATGAAAAATAAAGCTATGAACATGTATAACTTTAAAAAATTAAGGCAATTTATTTAAGCAATTTGAGAGGGACAAATTAAAAATGTCTACAAAGAGTTTCTAAAGATATAGAAAAATGTTTGATAATGATTTTTAAGGAAAAAAAGGCAGAATTCAAACATACACATCTGACATTTATGGAACCTAAACAAAAATGTGCTGCTTTGAAGTATATCCCAACAAAGTGATAGATGTAAAAGAAATATAAAACTCTAAAAAGTATCAGAAATTGATACAACATTGTAAACTGACTATATTTCAATAAGTATATATATATATATATATATATATATACCCACAAAAAACTCTAAAAAGTATCCAAAAAGTGATAAAGCCCTTTACTAAAGGTCATTTGAGAAAGCAGCAAAAGAATTACATAGCATAATATGTAACAAAACTTTCTAAAAATCTTTGTATACGTATCTTTTCCCAAAGTCTCTCTTCTCACCTCATTTACCCCTTTTCTCCATAAACTCCAAAACTCTTCTCTCTCTTCACCACTCTTGACTCTTGTCTTCACTCCTCCCTTCCCTCTTACATCCTTTCTCAAGTAGCGCAATTTAGACAGTTCTTGGCTTCTGCCATTCACCTTTCCTTCCTCATCTTATCAGCACTTTAACAATGACCTGGCCCTTGCAGAGCAAGAAAAGGATTTTTGACACCTGAGGAAGTTCAGATTGAGCTTTATATTCAAATCCTATCATATGGTTATTAACACTGTTAATTCCAAAACTGACCCTGGGGGGAAAAAAGTTCGAAAGACACAAGTTAAAACTATTAATATCATACTAGAAATAAAAGAGTTTGTTATTAATTAAAAATTAACCTAAATAAATAAATAAATAAAATCTTTACAAAATTTAGACCTATAAAAAGTAACCAAAATTCATAGACATGAAGGCCAAACAAGGAAATTTACAATGGAAGCAGCTAAAATTCATAAAGTTTTATACAGGTAGTTGACAAGGAATCAAATTGTCTTCTAAAACAGTGCTTTTCAAACTATCTGGGGCAAAAAACTAGTTTTGTTTTTGACCAATCCATTGTAGACTCATACTTCTATAAAATAAGAATATAGCCATAATGTCAAATGTTACAACATTTTTAAAGTTTTACTCTCAGTTTCCCTGAATTATTTTGTTTCAAATCAGGAACAAACAGTTCTCAAACCAGCACTGGTTCTCAGGCCACACTCTCAGTAACACTGCTTTAAAATATACACTGAAAAACTTCAAAACAAATACAATAAAGACAAATACAAAAAATAATTAAAGAGAATTGTAAAGAAAACTTATAAAATTAAAATGGGGGGTGGGAAGGGACAGACTGGGATTTCAAAATGTAGAATAGAAAAACAAGATTGTACTCTGTAGCACAGGGAAGTATATATAGGATCTTGTGGCAGCTCACAGCAAAGGAGAATGTGACAATGAATGTATGTATGTTCATGTATAACTGAAAAATTGTGCTCTACACTGGAATTTGACACAACATTGTAAAATGACTATAACTCAATAAAAAAAAAGTTAAAAAATGGAAATAACAAAATTCACTGCAGAAAGTATCTTTTTCTGGAAAAATCATCAGAGGTAGCATAATTCCCATTTAGAATGGCTATCTTATAAACACAGAATCAAAGTAATCACTGTGAGGTTAAATCATCCCATCTAATTACATCCCCTGAAATCATAATCACACATATTTCTCTTCTGATTTCTAATTTTACTGCTAAGCTTATTAGGGAATGTGTATTATAAAGAAAATCTAACACATTCTAATACACTGCACAGATAATGCAGAAAAGAACAGATAATTTTGAACTATTTCTTTCTCTGTTTTAGAATTAATCCTTCATCTTACTTTTAAAATATTGGGATACCACTGATCCTAAGAATTCTAAAGAGTTGAAATTAAAATATTAAAAAAAGGAAAGCACTCTATAAAAATCAGGCTAAAATAGATAAGAAAATTTAATTTTTCCTCCCATGATTAAGATAGGAGGTAGCTAAGATACTTGCTGAGAAGTAGACTTAATGATTTAAGCACTAAATTAAAAGTAAAATATACTGTAAATGTACTATAAAGTGGATGATGTCAGTAAAAATATAGGTGGGTTCTGTAATATCTAAATCACCAAGTTGCTTTGATGTATGAAAACAGTTGCTTAACAGCCCTATCAAAAACACATGAAGGACTTCTGGATCTGGCCACCGCAATGCATTTTTTATCAGATGAAACCTTTCTTCTTGCGACTGTGAAACTATACAAAACCATAAAACTACATAAAAGCAGAATAAAATATATACAACAGTCTGAAAGCACTGGAGAAGCACCTCTACAGAAGTGATAAGGAGCTGTGATCTTTCAGAAAAGCGAAGCACATAAGGAGAATCCAAGCTGAAAGCATCATTTTTTCTTGACTAAGAAGCCAGAGATTTGGAGCTACCAAAGCAGCTGAGATTGAGGGAAAAATTCTGCAGAGGAGGAAACAAAGGGAAAATGAGCCACAGAAGTCTCTGTTCAAACTCCTCTTACAACTATGGTAAAAACTTTTTTTTTAAACCTCGAGCAGGGAGTCATGAGGTCTGCTGTGAATTGGGAGGGGCAGGAGAAAATGTCAAACATGAGTTTTGTATCTCTTGCCATGGTTTTTCTTTTTTTTTTTTAATTTAAGTGTAGTTGATTTACAATGTTAGTTTCAGGTATATATGCAACATACATATATATTTTTTCTTTTCAGATTCTTTTCCATTATATGTTATTACAAGAAATTGAATACAGGTCCCTGTGTTATACAATAGGTCCTTGTTCTTTAACTATTTTATATATAGTAATGTGCATCTGTTAATCCCAAACTCCTCATTTATCCCTCCCTCACCCTTTCCCCTTTGATAACCGTAGTTTGTTTTCATAGTCCGTGAAGGACTATGGTTAACTCTTAAGCTGTGCATGCATAGGACAAAACTCCAAGAAACCCAGCAGGAGAGAGTCACGAGGGAGATCAAATGTAGAAATTTCTCACTCCACAGCAGTGGGAAGACAAAGGTTGTAGTTCAAGTCGTGCAAAGGAGGCAAAGTCTTCATTAACAGCACAGCTTTTTCAGTAGTGTTGAAACCCAAGAGGAACCACTCACTAGAAATAGAGGCCACAATCCAGAAGTAAATAGAAAGCTGGAAGAATCTAGCCTTAATATAGCATAAAACCAAAGCTTGGCAGAATTTAAGTGATCCCTCAAAATTATCTGCCTGCCAGAAGAAAACATAACCCTTTTCAGAGGAAGATAACAATACCAAAGCCTCTAGAGTTTTTCATCCACAATGTCCAACATCCGACGTCCTAGGTTCAGTCCCTAGTACCTCCTCTAAAAAATAAATAAACCTAATTACCTCCCCTCCAAAAAAAAACAGAGAGTCATAATGTCCAACATCCAATGAAAAATTAAAGCATGGGGGGGAGGGTATATAGTTCAAGTAGTAGAGTGCATGCTTAGCATGCACCAGGTCCTGGTTTCATTCCCCAGTATCTCCTCTAAAAATAAATAAATAAACCTAATTATCTCCCCCCCACAAAAAAATTTAAAAATTAAAAGTTAAAAATAATAATAAAAAGAAGTGTTTATTCACTTGTCTGTGTTAAATTTCAAAATAAAAATATATTTCAAAGAAAATTAAGGGAGGCCTAATCCTATGACCTGGCAATTCCACCCAACAAAAACTAAGCACATATGTTCACCAAGAGATCTACAGTAGAATGTTCACAGAATCCTACAACTGCAAACTATCCAAATGCTCAGTAAGAGTTGAATGAATAAAGAAAATGTAGAATATTCAAACATAATACTAAATATCAATGAAAATGAACAGTCTACAAGTACATGCAACAGTGTAGACCAATTTCATAAACATAATGTTGATCAGGAGAAGGCAGTCTCAAAACATACATACATACGATTCCATTCACAGAAACTACAAAACAGGTGAACTAACCTATGCTGCTAGAAGTCAGGATAATGACTACGTGTGGGTGGAGTGTTGGTATTTCTGGGTTCTGGTAATAATCTGTTTCTTGATCTGGTTGCTGGTAACATGGGTGTAATTCAATCTTTGAAAATTCAGTGAAATTGGATATCTTGGGATATGTGCAGTTTTCTGCACACTACACTTCAATAAAGAGGGGTTTTTTTAGGTTTAAAGAAAACAAAGCCTACCCATTGGAATAAAGAGTCCACCATCCTCTGTCTCTTCCTCAGTTTGGTGAGCTAGAGTCCTGAGGGGCTTTTCTTGAGGAGACGCACAGACATCTGGCTGGGATGATTTCCTAGGCTGGGCTGCTGGTTTTGTAGAGTGGCTGCCTGATGACAGCGAAGGCATCTCCCCTTCAGAATACACTTGAGGTTTTCCTGAAAGAATCACAAATATTGCTCCACACTCTGTCCATTCTCAACTATACTCCGTTGTAAAAATTAGTATCTTGTTACAAAGTACTTTTTAGTTAGATAACTTCATTAATGATGCATATATTACACAGGTATTCTTCTCTTTTAAAGACACTGTCCTAAGAAAAATACCGAAATCAAAGCTCAGGTCCAATTTACTTGTCTGTAATGTCAGGGAAATGAACTAGGTAATTGCTAAGGTCTTTCTAGTTCTAATATGCTTTGAGTTATGCATTTTTTGCTATGGAAAAATCATACCCATAATTGTAGGGGGGGTTATATTCCTGATTACTGAGGGATATTTTATAGATGACCAATGACATCACATTTAATCAACTATAAATGATATATATTACAAAATGTCCTGAACTTCTGACTCTGCAAATCAATTCTACAGAGCACTAGAGTAAAAATTACCATAAAACTATAAATATATGGTTCTACAGTTCATTAGACAACTTTCTCCTTTCTCACCTCAACTCTTAATGAGTGCTGTCTTTCTTTTTTTGTGGGTGGGCATTAAAAAGACAAAGAAACATTCATGTAATATTATCAAAAGTAAACATTAGAATCAAGTTGTCACAGGAAAAATACATATAGGCTTGTTTATACACAGAATAGATAAAGAGTAAATGCAAGGAGTTGTTAAATAGTGATTGCTTCTGAGAAGAGAACTTGGGGAACAAGAGGACAAAGTGAAAAGATGCCTAACTTCCACTGTTTACTTTCTGTATTTAGGGATTTCCATGTTTGTGTATTACAGTCAAAAAAATTTTTTTCAAAAAGAGATCAAGTTATTTGTTCCTGAGCTCTTTTCAAAATAGATAGACTTTATACTTTTTTGGACTGCTATTTAATCAGCATTAGCCAATTCAACTGGCATATAAATAAGATTTTAAATTGGAGGACCCTCCCCACCTCAACAAAGGAAAAAAGCCTTTATTTTCAACTAAAGTATGAATCAATCTTTAAATGTATTTACCCTCAATCTTACTTCTTTACTTCTGGAGCCCATGATTACTTCACAATGTCAAAAGGTGATAGGCTTTGGCTTTAATAGGGACTGTAATAGGGACTGTTCAACAAAGAATTAAATCCTAAATCCATCAAATCAAAAGTTCCTCCCAGGCAAATTTCGTATAAAAGGGAGGAATATCAAACAATAGCACAGCAGAGCTTCCTCATTTAATCAACAATCTTTAATAGTTTTTAGAATTAATGTCTAACATTTAAAAGCTGAACTGACACAAAACGATTTTTCTAAACAACCATATCTAAGCAAAATACAGAAGGTCAGTTTGGAAGGCAGAGTTTCCATTGATACTTTTACTACCTAAAACATTTGGAACTACTCCAAAACTGTCCTTACAGTTTCTCTGTATAGAGAAAATATTCTTTTTCTTTGCATCCTTTTCTTTCCCTGACCCCATTACACTGCTTCTCCATTTAATTCCCCTCTCACAGAACCCCTCAGGATCCCACTCTTCCTTTCCTCTATCAATGTGCTAAATGCGAAAGGCTTTCGAAAGAGAAGTCAAGAAAGGTAAGAGATGGAGAAGGAAAAGCCTTATTCAGAGCTTATCTGTTACTTGTTTACTGCCAGCCTAAGAACTATTAATTGATAAAATGAAAATAATTAGCTGAGAACTATAAAAACTAACTAACTATAAGCTAAAATCTGCCTAAGTCAATCATTTTTAAAAAGCAAAGAAAGGAAAAAAAGGCCTAGTTAGAAATTAGGGTATGTAAATCAATTTTAAAAGAATAATTAAAACTCTGAGAATAAACACCAACACAGAGAAAGGTTTAATCATTAGCACCTGCAGTCTAGAAATATGATTTAACAGTGTGTATCTATTGTAATGCGGATACTTTTAAATGACCCAGATGTTTTTTTCTGGTTCCCGCTCCCATATAATCATAATCAAAAGACTAAAATGTTACTTAAAAAAAAAGTAACAAAAAGAATATGCACTAAATTATAAAAGTAATTACTCTCAGTAATAAGATTATGGGTGATTTTATTTACTTCTTTCAACTTTTCAATATTTTCCAAAATACACATATATGAATTTTCAATATTCCTTCTTTCTTCCTTTCTGCTTTTCATGTTACATTTCCTGTGTGCCAAAAAAAAAAAGTTACTTGGGGGATAGACACTCATAATGTATTTCTTTTACTGGCATTACTTGAATATACAGCTAATTGAAGAACAAGGTAGAATAAACTTTCAGTTATCCAGTTTAATGAGGGGTAGTAGCCATCACAGATAATTCCAAAAAATAAATATTTATTTTATTTATCTACACTTGGATATTTGTAAATTGACTATTAAAAATATCTCCAGATTCCACTCCTCAATAGCTGAGTGACTTTGAACCCCTACTTAACTATACATTCTTTCTCTAGCACTTTTAATCTTGCATTTTCCTCCAGTTCTTCCTGTCTTCATGTCACAAATACAATTGAGCTTAAAGAAAAAAAATTCAATAACCTTGCTGCCCCTCTAGCTATTTCCCATTCTCCCACTGCACAAATTATCACTGGTGCTTTCATCCCTCCCTCAGTAATTCCATCATTTGATTTCCTTTTCCCCAAAAAACTCTAAGTCTATTCCTGATCAACAACCTTCAAATGTAATCTTTTCTCAGGCATCATTATATCTCCTTTGTCACTACATTTTCAATAAAAGACCTATTCTTCAAGCTCTCCTTCCCCCTTGATGTTCACTATCGCTTCTCCAGTTTCTCCTTGTCTGTCATCTTCTTTCATGTTCCTTTCCATAAAGAAGAACCACAACCAACACTTCGAATAGTTCTTACCAAACTTCAATCTCATATTTCTGTTCTTCCTTGATGGCCCCAATGTCACCTCACTCCACATACCTAAGCCGAACTCATTTCAACCCCTCAAATACCTTCCCCATGGAGGCATGCTTCACCATCCCCCACTCCAGATATCTTAAATGGTATCAGTCTGTGAGCAACAGTAATTCTTTCTTTGTAATGTCTCTAAGATAGACCCTTTCTTCTCTATTCTTCCTGCCAACATCCTATACCAATACTTCATAAGATCTCAAGGGCATAACAGCAAGGCTCGGTATAGTAATCTGGATCTATCCTTTCTCTCTGAAGCCCTGCTCCCCTCCCACACAAACACTATTCCACTTCCACTTCTTCACCCTAATCCATCAAATCCAATCAGTTCCTCAAGTTCCAATTTCAAAAACCCTAATCACCTGTACCACATGCTCTAGCACTTACTCACATGCTGTCTTACACTGCTCCAAATGAATTATGTGTTTATGTCTTGTCTTTCCAATTAGACTATAACCTTTCTAAGGTTAGAATTATGCCTTCTGCTTATTTATTAATTGGTTATAACCTACAGGAAAAATTCAAACACTTAAGCATGAAAAATAAATTCCTTCACAGTCTAAACCCAATCTACCACTCTGAAGTCATCTCTCACTGCCTCTTCCAAGCAACTATGTCACCATCCTCTTCTGCCTCTGTGCCTCTGCTCAGACTGTTCTTGGCCACGATACCCCAGGCCACCATTCTGTCAAGCCACAACTCATTCCTCAAGTCCTATGGGCATATTATGTGATCTCTGAAGAGCCTTACCAAATGTCACAGGCAATAGTCTCTTCCTTTAAGCTGCTGTCCCTCCTCAAGCCCTTTATAAATGCCCACCAAATCACAAAGGGCCACACATAATTCATCCCTCCAGAAATGATGAAAAGTTAAGAGAAAGGAAAGAAAAGGATACAGAAGAGGACCTAGGAAACAGGAGAGAAGAAAGTTGCTACCCATTCATAGAGTTCACTGAGGACCCTTACAAGAACCATAGCTCCAATTCCGTTCCAAATCAACATTCCCTTTCAGAAACAGTTTTGTAAAGGCACTGCAGAGGATGCAATGACAACAGCAAAGGCAACGGTAATGACAAGGAAAATATAACCTAAGACTTTCAATATCTTACCTCCTTCTTCCTTGACTTCTTCGCTAGGCTCTCCTGAAAGAGGCTCCTTTGTGATAGGATGATCATCTCTGTCTTCTTGGGTAAATGGCCCAGGCCTGAGTATAATTTTCTTCCCTCTCCTTGAGCTAGTGGCCTGGAGTTTTCCTTTACCAATATGTATATTTAGGGGCTGAGAAGACTCCAAGGAAGGTAGGGTGATTCCCTGAGAGATGGCCAAATCAACAGCTTCTAAAACTGGTGCATTTGTGTCCTGGGTGAGCACACGAGAGTCTGAAGGTGGGTCCTCGACACCAAGCTGTTCTCCTGCATCCTGTACAGACTGTACTTCAAGGCCAGCCGCTCTGCCATGACTTGGAACCCAGGATAGTGACACTGACTCCAAGTCTTTAACGTGGTCCAATTCTGGCTTAACAGCTGACTCTAGGTCTAAGTCATCCTCCTCCTGGTTGCCCTGATGCTGGGGGGAGTCTGTCAGTGTAGTTCTTCTCTTCTTACAGGGCAACATTTTGCAAGTCCCACTTCTGTTCCATTCTGAAAGGATAAAAGCAAGTTCTTATCACATTCACATTAATTAATGATAATAATATTTCCTCAAATATCTTTTCATTTATTCATGTCCAAACATGAACACAGCATTTTACACCAAATGCACAATCTCCCCACCAGGTGGGAGCTGAGAGTGGTTAGAGTGCCTGAGTTCAAACCCTAACTCTATTACTGATTAGTATGTTATCTTGGCTGAGTGACTGACAACCTCTCTAAAGTTCTGTTTCCTCAACTGTAAAAAATAATAATTGTTCTTACTTCGTGGAGTTGTTACATGAATTAAATAGCAAGTGATTAGTGTTAGTTATTTTTATTACCATCAGGAAGGCAGAATAACATGATGCTGAGAGCAAACTGTGGAGTCAAACTATCTGGATTTGTTTCCCAAGTCAGTTTCTCTGCAGCTTCGTGACCTTGCAAAAGTTACTTAACCTGAAACTCAGTTTCTTCTGCTATAAAATGAAATAAAAATAGCACCTACATCATTAGATAGTAATTTATTATATCAATAAATGTTTACTATTGTTGCTTTTATAAACAGGTATTTCCATTAACAGAAACAAGCCAAAAGCAGGGTTTGGTTGTTTAAAAAGGTTAAGCTATCTTAACAGAAATTTTTCGTTGAAAACAAGAAAGAGATTCTTACTGTTCTCAATACTATGTTACTTCTGGACTCTTGGCTTCATATCCAGTCATCACTATTTTAAGGGCAACAATAACCTAAACTGGAGAGTATTTTATGTTTGTATAGCACCTGTTTGCAAACCTCTTTTATAGTACTTATCACTTTTTTGATGGCTTCTTGTCTCGTTTCCATTTCCATCCCCCCAAACTGTGTGCTTTCTGAGGGAAAGGACCCTTTCAACTAGTACCTCTTGTACTCTCAGCAATATCTGCTCTATTGTAGATACTCAATAAATACTCCTCAAATAAATGAATGAATTAAAGAGGGCGTGAACTTCCCATTCTGTGCTTCATTCTATGCAGCTTGGACCAAGAGCATTATATAGAAACCGACTGCATCTTTCTGCCCCCCTCCTCAAACTTTACTCTCAATAAAATAGGTCCAAGAATAGAATAAGCTGTCTTGTGATACAGTGAGTTCATCACTGACAATGTTCAAGCAAAGCCTGAACGTCCATCTATCAGGGCACTAGATGAAAGCTTGGACTAGACGACGGCAAAATGGAGTTCTTTCTAAGAGTCTGAACCTTATAGTTAGTTTTAAACCTCCCTCATATTCAGTTTCTCCAGGACGCTAGGAGAAATTCCCCTGCCCCTGCCAAATCAACTGATATCCTTATACTGGTAATTAAAGATCAATAAGGACGTGAAATTCCGCTGATCCCTGTGAGGGAGGGTGCTAAGAGAGAAAGAAGTAGAGGGAGTAGTTTAGGAGAGTCCTATACTTCACAGACAAATTACTGAGGTCCAAGAAAAAGAAAAGAGGGAAGGGGAGGGAAGGAAAGAAAAGGAAAAGAAAAGAAGCTACTATTCAAAGTCAGCAGCGTGCAGGAATCAGCCCTGAGCACTTCAAACACAACAGTGGCTCTCAAGAGGGCCCCCTTTGGGAACTGGAGTCAGACCAACAGAGTGAATGAATGCAAATACGGAGGCAGCCCCAGCGAGGACCCCTCCTGGGAAAAGCTTTCACAAAGGGGTCCTAACTGCGCCTTTCACCCCGGCGCCGAGCGCTGGCCCAAATCCCCGCTCTCAGCTATTCACCTTCACTCCCCTACCTCTGTCATGCACCCCGCGCCAGCCCTCAGACCCGACCGCCTCAGCCGTGACATCCTTCGCCCGGACGTCCAGCGCCCACCTGCTTCTTCCCGCCCCACCGTACACGGCCCAGTACCCTCACCAGCCGGCCCGATCCCGCGGAAACTCAGCTTCTGTACCACCGGAAGTCAGCCAACGGCAGACAGTGACGTGCGCGCCCCCGCGTCGCTGTGCGCGGCGTCAGGGCGTCAGGGAGCATGCGCCAACCACAGGCGCCATCCCATTTTAGGGCGGAATGAAGCCGAAGGGCTGGTATGTCAGTTGTTGGCAAAAAAATTTAAAGGAAATACCTCGCTTTCTCTGTCCGTGGAGCTGTCCTATTCAAATCAAAACTGGGGGTTGAGGTTCGGTGGTTTAATTTGACAACTTATCCTCGCCGCAAGACACCTAGAATACAGGACCGAAGAAATGGAGAATTCGTAAAATTTCAAAAAGAGGAATCCTTGCTTTACAAATAGTGCAGTTTCCTAAATAAAGGTAAGGTAGTCTTGGACTCAATCCATAGTAATTATTCATATCTGTATAATACTCTGCATTTTACAAAATGCTTTCACTTTATCATAAGTGATTTAATGTTCATAATAAACCCTATGGGGCAATAGGTATTATTACACCTTCCAATTTACACAGGACAGATTTTTGGCTCAGCTGGGTAGGTGATTTCACAAAGATACACAGCTATCAAAAGGAATCAAGTTATCCTAACTAGCTTCTAACGTATTAATCCAGTGCCCAGGAAGGTGCCTGGGGCATAGTCGATGTTCAGTAAATTCAATTTATGTGTTCTGAATAAATGAATGACTCTAAGAACCATGTCCTTTCCAGTTTTCTAGAAGGACAGAATGTCAAAGCTGGAAAAATGCATTCAACTCTCCCACTTTACAGGTGAACCACCAACAAATATTTATGCATTTAAATAATCTATTTGACCTGATACTGTTTGTAAACAGAACCCGACAGGATGAAAGTACCCACAGCCAAAATAAAGGGTGAAATTGAAGTGCTCGCGGAGGTAATCGCCAGCAGTCTGGCTCTAACCTGAATCACCCTAACTCTTCCAGATGCCAAGGAAGTCTCTAGAAGATTGGAGTTTCATCTGTGTCCTGCTTTTGAATCTACAGAATACACAGATCTGTTGATTTGCTCTTTCTCTTTCACACCCCTAAGCACAAGCACCTTTAAGCACTTGAAGCTTTTGAAAAGAGAAATATCCAACACTTACTAACTTTGACATTCTTCATTAATCTTTGGGGTTTTTTTGTTTGGGGAGGGTGGTATTTATTTATTTTCCTAGTGGAGGTACTGGGGATTGAACGCAGGACCTTCTGCCTGCTAGGCACGCACTCTACCACTAAGCTATACCCTCTCTCTAGTCTTTGTTTTTAAAGTTTTAATTTACACACTACAAAACCCATCCGTTGTTTTACTTATACAATTAAATTATTTTCAATAAATCTTCGGAGATGTGCAACCATCACCAGGTTTTTGTCTTTAATCAGAGCTTCTTAAGTTTAAGAATTTCCATAATAATCTTTAGTGGTCTCAGAAATGCATAACAATAATGGCAATTGATACTGAAATGTAGGCAATATAGAATGTTGTTTTTTCCAAAATCCTGGGCCCCCTCTCGCCCAGAACATTCTGCTGCTATATTAAGCCCAGGAACCCGGAATCACAAGATCCATTGGCCCTTATATGCTAAAGTACCTACACTTCTTAGGCCTCCGGGTTTTCGCCTTATAGACTCGCAGCCCATCAGTGGGCGGGATCTGATTCTCAGGAAATCTTGGCGATGGGAGGGGTCCCCTCCCAGAGATCTTCCGGAAGGGGGCGGGGCTTGCCTTCCGGAACTTTTCGGACAGAGGCGGAGTCTTCTGCCGAGGGCCGTTCGGAAGAAGGCGGGGCCTACCTCGCATCAGGACCAGTCTGGCTGCACCTGCATCCTTAGCTCAGAGCATCCCTGGAGCATCTTAAGAGGCGACCGCAGCTGGCAACCAGGGATCAGACCGTCGCAGGAGGTGTCCGCCGGACACCTTCCCCCTCCCCTGACCTAGCGCTCTGCAGCGGCGGCCTCGGTACTGACCGGAGGTTCCCAGAGTTGTCTGACCATTGCAAAAGCATTTATCGCAATAGCCTCTGATTACGACATGGCTGAGATCACCAATATCCGACCCAGCTTTGGTAAGTAGAATCTGGCCAACTAAGTCTGGGGTAGGCGAAACCGTTGCAAGGCCAACAGCTGGGCAGAGTGAAGCCCAGATCAGGGCCTTCAAGTGTCGCCCCCTGTAGAAGCGGGCCTGTGGTGGTGGGTATCGGGCGGAAGATAGCAACCGTACTTGAGCTATGGGCTGCAGGGGCTGGTAAGGCCAGAACCACACAGAGGGTGGGAAGGACCAGGATGCTAAAACCTTGTATAGTGCACAGTCAGCACTGCTGGAGGTGAGAAATAGCGAGCTTGCAGAGGACCTGAATCCCTCCTTCTGGGGGAGGAGAGGTGAGGTAGGCCGAGCCCTCCCCCTTGGGACACGCAGGGCGGTGCCCCTTCCTCCCCCTCCCACTCCTCAGGGCTGCGGGGGAGGGAGGTGGCAAGGGGGATGGGGCATCAAGATGGCAGCTTGGAGACTGTGGGATGTGCGGCTGACAGCCAGGGGGAGGCGGCGGCCTCTGGGGAAAGAGAGGTGCGGGGGTGGGGAGCAAAAAGGAAGCCACTCCTTAAGCCGATCAGCTGGATGCTGAGGCTAGGAGGCCCTGCAATTTCTATTCTGCATCGTAATGGTGGGGTCCGTCCGATGCTACCAAATGGCGCTTGGCGCTGCTGGGCTGGAGGATGACGTGATGTCTATTTCTGGGCCTCCTGGCAGTGCCTAGGCTCTTCTTCCCGGGTCTTTGTTCCCTGTTTGCCTGGTATGGCTTTTCAAAAAGGGGGACTCACCCGCGCTGGTGCTGGCGGGGGCCCGATCCAGGCCAGGCCTGAGGGGGAGGGGCGAAAAAGGCCGAGCCCGGGGGAGGCCGCTTTGTGTACGGGAGAAAGCATTACGTCATCTCGGAGCGGCTGGTCCCTGACCCAGCCCTACGGGCTCCAAGATCAGTTACACTCCCTGGAGCAGAGGGTGGGGTGGAAAATAGGGAAGCAGATGGGAAAGAAAAGCTGGAGAAGCAAGTTTTTCCTCTTGAGAGATTCCTCCAAAATGTGCTTGGGTAGCAAACTTCCTGTGTTATGCTTTCCTGGCCCGAAAATAAAAAAGAATTGCCCTGCTTCTCCCTCAGTTCTACCCCAGTTTGAATGAGAGAAACCAATGAGAGTTGCTGTCGGCCTAGGGTTCCTTCATATTCCTTAAGAGATTCTATCTCGCAAACAATCCAAAAGGTTTGAGCATCCAGACTCCAATGTTTAGGGTGGGGCCACAATCCAACTAGGAAATGGCTTTTCTCACTCCCAAGTAAGAGGTTTATGGAAATGAACAGAACCCAGTGTGCTCTATCCCTTCAATGCCAGGAAGAAGACATCAGATCAAACAACAGATCACACCCATTAACTGCTTTTCCCACTGATTCCCCAAGGCTGAATCATGATTATATTTCTTTCTTCCATCTCACCTACTGCATCTTTTTTCAATGTATTTTTATTGAAGTATAGTCAGTTTACAATGTTTCACCTACTGCATCTTTGAGTCCTAAATTTCCAAAGAGATGCCCCTTTTGTGATCACATGAGCACCTCATGATTTTCTTCCTGGTCTTTCTTTTTTTTCCCTTATGCCTTCTTACCAACATTTTCTTTCCTGTCATTGCAGTTCCAGATTCCTTGGAAGGTTAGATGGTGCAGAGCATAATATGTGATTTCATTTAGAGGGACTATTAGTGGAAAAAAGAAAAGAAATTATAAAGGCCTTTTACATACTACATTTTATTTAATCCTTACAAATACCCTCCAGTGTATTCATTATTATATATATTTGCCAAATGAGGAAACTGAGCTGAAGGGAGATAAAAATAACTTGGCTGAAGTCAAACAAACTAGTTAGGGTAGTGTTAGGCTAGAATCTAAACCAATTTCCGGTTGATGCCAAAGTTCATTTTCATGTCACTGTATCACACTGGCCTATTTGACAGGAAAAGGCTGTTTTAGCAAAGGAAGTGTCAATAAGCAGGACTGGTCGGGGCTGAAAGAGTTGGACAAAGCCCAGATGTGTCTTGCAGAACTTTAAACCCACACAGAGTCTCCTATGCAGAGAACCACCACTTCTGACTTTTCCCCGTCTCATAGAGTACTTCATTTCAAACTCCGTAGCCCTTGAGAGATATACCAAGCCAACACTCAATTATCCGTGACCTTGGAGGACAAAAGGAGCAAGCAGCATGGGTCACTGCAATTTACAACTACTCAAAAACATTCATTTAGCCATTAATTCCAGCTTCCTTTTCCCACCACACTTTTGACTAAAGCAAGACATAGGGTCCTGAGTTTCACTATCTCTGATTTTTCTAGTTCACTGCCTTGGGTGTGGAGGAGAGAAGCGGGAATTAAGAAATACTAAAATGAAGAAGAAAGTAGAGTGGGGGGAAGGGTATAGCTCAGTGGTTAGCGGATATGCTTAGCATGCACAATGTTCTAGGTTCAATCCCCAGTACCTCCATCAAAATAACTAACTAAATAAAGCTAATTACTTACCCCCCACAAAAAAAGCAAAAGTAGGAAACAAGGTGGAGGAGAGTACCTAGATAATTCACAAGTGGATTCATCTGTTTCTTCATCTCTCCTCCTGAAACATAAGAATCCTTCATATTCTCTTTTACCCATTCCACCCCTGTTTTCTAGCAGTAAAAGTTGAGGCAGTGGGATCTCTCAAGATCACATCTCAGATGTCTCCCAACCTGGGCCTTTCAAACTCCCTTTCAAATCGTTCTCAACAATAGAATTGTCTTGGTAATTCCCTGTTTTTCTCTTCTCACAGAGAGAATCTCTGTTCAGTTTTACCAAGCAGTAGCGGTTTTCAGGAGTCCCTGACTGGCAAACGGAGAGCCACTTTTTCAAACTGTACATATTCTGACTGACAGTTGAATCCAATCAATTGTTCAAACAAATATTTACTGAGCTCCAATTAGACGCAAGAGACTAAGGGATTCAAAGACGAACAGGATGCTATTTCTGCCCACTCTCAAGGAGCTTACTGCCAAGTCTGCTCCCATTTTGTGAAACCTCTCCCTAACAGCTCTTATTTCACTTGCTACTCTGAGAATAAATGCTCTTATTCAGTATGGCCATGGACACGGTCACTTTGGTTTATTTTGTTAATGGCTTTACTCCAAATCTATATTATTTCAAAATGTAACCACTTATTTTCTTACATAGTCCCATCTTTCAGAGAATCATGGAATGTTTGAGGC